GGCTAATAGTTCACATACAAGAGTTAGGCACTGAAAGAGTTACTTGGAACCGTCTGCCAGCTTGTTAACCTGCAGTTCACTTGTTGGGTGATCTGACACAGGTGACCTTCTCACTATGGGATTTCACTGGTGTATTGATTTTCACCATGTTCTCAACTATTTTCCACCCTGGACTTTCCAGTATACCAGAGGCCCTCGGGTCTGGTCCAGCTTGCCTGCAGCAGTACTGCCCCAAAGAACTTTCTATGATGACGGAAACGTTCTACCTCTGAGCTATAAATACTGTAGTTACTAGCCACACTCCTACTGAGCCCCTGAGATGTGGCTTGTGCAACTGAGAAACTGTATTACTTATTTTATTTAATTTTTGCTAATTTAAATAGCCCCAAAAGCCATATAGGGCAGTGTAGCACAAGAGAATAAGCCTCTAGCATCCCATTTTGGCAGATAGGTACAAGGAGGTTACCTGGACACACAGAATAGGGAAGGAGATAAAAATACAGAGTTTCATAGCAAGGTTTCAGAACTTTAGATTTTAATTCATAAATTCTAAGCTCTGGAATCTAACTTTTTTAATATTAACATATATGAAGTCAAACAGAAAAGAAGATGAAGAAACAGTGGACAAACAATGAGTGCAGGAAAAGAATGTTGCTTTACTCTACATCACAAACTTTGCCATATTTTTCACTGCTGATTTTTGTTGTTGTTGTTTGTTTTGAGACGGACTCTCACTCTGTCGCCAGGCTGGAGTGCAGTGGCAAGATCTTGGCTCACTGCAACCTCCACCACCCGGGTTCAAGCGATTCTCATGCCTCAGTCTCCCAGGTAGCTGGAATTACAGGCACGCACCACGATGCCCAGCTAATTGTTTGTATTTTTAATAGAGACAGGGTTTTGCCATGTTACCCAGGCTGGTCTCAAACTCCTGAGCTCAGGCAATCCGCTCGCCTCGGCCTCCCTAAGTGCTAAGATTATAGGCATGAGCCACCGCGTCCAGCATTCACTGCTGATTTTAAATCCCTTTTATTAATGCTGTAATTCTAACTAAATGATGGAACACTAATTTCAATGAAACAGATTATCGAAGTCTCTGCTTTTGCTCATTCCAACAAAGTGACATTCTAGTTACTTACTCTGTCTCCAGGTTTAAGCAGAGGTTCATTCTTACTTGTCAGTTTATTAAGTAGAGTATAAGCTAGTTTTAAACTCCGACTCCAAAGTTTACCTAAAACAAAATAAAAACACTAAGCAATGTAAAAGTTAAGAAACAAATAATTAACATTTTAATGTAGAAACCAAAATACCCCATAACATACCATTATCCCATTAGTGGAAATTTAGGTAGTTTCCATCTAATAACTATTCTGCACAATGTTGTAAGGAACATCATTGTTGGCTCTTAAAAATAACTTACAGATTTATTTTTCTTAATACAAAAACAAAACAGGATTTTATTATAGAAAATTTGGACTACAGAAGAGCCAGCAGAGGCCAGGTGCAATGACTCACACCTGTAATCCCAGTACTTTGGGAGGACGAGGCAGGCAGATCACTTGAGGCCAGATGTTTGAGACCAGCCTGGCCAACATGGTAAAACCCCCTCTCTGCTAAAAATACAAAAAATTAGCTCAGCGTGGTGGCATGCGCCTGTAATCCCAGCTACTCGGGAGGCTGAGGCACAAGAACTGCTTGAACTTGGGAGGCGGAGGCTGTAGTGAGAGCCAGCCTGGGCAACAGAGACACTATTTAAAAAAAGAAAAAAAAAAAGCCAGCAGAAAAAAGTCAGTATTTGGTATACATATGTATATGTACATATGTGTGCACACATATACAACTATACACATATAAGCACATATACAGGTCTGCATAATTTTCAAGAAATGAGATACTTCACCGTACTTTTCCAATTAATACTGCAGTGTAAATGGATTTTCATGACATTAAATATCCGTCAATTACATCATTTGTAAGAGTAGCACATAATTCATTTAATCTTCACAACAATTCATGAAATGGGTCATATCTTTATTTTAACATGTTAAATTCCCAATTTAATACGTTAAATTTAAGATGTTAAAATACTAGGCATCCCCAAAGAGAAGTTCCCCTGACCAAAAATCAAGAGACGATATAAACAAAAGCAACAGATCCAAAGGTGATCCGGGTATCAATGCTATCCATTCTTTACTTGGAAAGCCATCGGGACTTCACACCAGGCACAGGGCCCAGGAACCAGCTCTTACTCCGAGGTCCCTCCCATCACACACCCTCCTGGCACAGTTGCTACGTTCACAAGCACTCAATAGGGGAGAGCTTCACTGAGGAAGACAGGACACCAGAGAAAGGAAAAGCCTAGAGGACTGGGGGTGTCGGGAGAGGATGACACGAGGCAGGGGTGACCACAGGACAGGAAGACTGAGAAATATGAGTCTAAGCCCCACACCTGCAGGAGCCTTAACACACCCCCACCAAGCAGCCTATCAAAGAAGCAACACAAAGTCATCATTGAGCCCTTCGAGTCCCTGCAGTACAACTGCAAGCAGGTTGAGCGGCCATGCCCTGCAAGTGAGCGCTCAATTTCCCGTGTAATAAGATGAAGCTCAGGTGCAACACTATGAAGTAAGTGAACTGGGGGACCTGAGAAATGAACGAGGAAAAAAAAAATACTAGACCAGGCACGGTGACTCATGCCTTTAATCCCAGCACTTTGGGAGGCCAAGGTGGGTGGATCATCTGAGGTCAGGAGTTCGAGACCAGACTGGTCAACACAGTGAAACCCCATCTCTACTAAAAATATAAAAAATTATCTGGGAGTGGTGGCACATGCTGTAATCCCAACTACTCAGGAGGCCGAGGCAGGAGAACTGCTTGAACCCAGGAGGCAGCGGTTGCAGTGAGACAAGACCGTGCCACTGTCCTCTAGCCTGGGCGAGAGTGAGACTCCCTCTCAAACAAACAAACAAAGACAAAACTCAACTCAAACCACTGTTTTAGCCTATTTTAAAAAGTCAATTTAAGGTGTTAATAATTGTAATGCATAAAGAATTTCAAACTGAATCCAGCTGTACATAAAAAGAATAATGCATCATGACCAAGTCAGTTTTATCCCAGGAATGTAAAGAGGTTCAACAGAAAATCAACATAATTTGCCACATTAGCAAAATAAAGGTGAAAAATAAAACAATCATATCAATAGATGGAAGAAAATAAAAGCAATTTAAATCATTCATGATTTTAAAATGATTTTAAATGATTTTTGAAATCCTTCTTAAACTCAGAAAAGGAAATATACTGCCTTAATGTGAAAAGGAGCATCTTTAGAAATCCGATAGGAAATATCATAATGGTTGGGTGTTGAAAGCTTCCCCTCTGAGAGAAGTAAGCTAAGGATGTCTGTTTTCAGCATTTTACTGAAAGGCTTAGCCCATGCAAAAGGGGAGAAAAAGCTGAACAACTGGAAATGTAACTACCATTATTTGCAGATGACATGATGATGTAGTTTACGAATCTTCCATAACTGAATTCAGCAAGGCTGCCAAATATATCAACATAAAAATACAATTTGATTTCTACATACTAGCAATAAAGAGTAAATAGGCCAGGCGCAGTGGCTCACACCTGTAATCCTAGCACTTTGGGAGGCTAAGATGGGCAGATTGCCTGAGCTCAGGAGTTCAAGACCAGCCTGGGTGAAACCCCGTCTCTACTAAAATACAAAAAATCAGGAGGGTGTGGAGGTAGACACTTGTAATCCCAGCTACTCAGGAGGCTGAGGCATGAGAATTGCTTGAAGCCAGGAGGCGGAGGTTGCTGTGAGCCAAGATCGTGCCACTGTACTCCAGCCTGGACAACAAAGCAAAACTCTGTCTCAAAAAAAAAAAAAAAGTAAATAAAAATTTTTGATGAAAGTATCCACCGCAAAATTAAAACACATACACACTAAGTACCTGAGACTGTCACAAGAAATATGCAAAATCTCCCCACAGAAAATTACACATTACTGAGATAAAGTAAAAAATATTTGAATGGAGGCACAGATGTCCAAGGGCTGGAAGACTCAGTAATGGAAAGGTGGTCGGGTGCGGTGGCTCACGCCTGTAATCCTAGCACTTTGGAAGGACTAGGCAGGTGGATCACCTGAGGTCTGGAGTTCGAGACCAGCCCTGGCCAACATGGTGAAACCCCATCTCTACTAAAAATACAAAAAATTAGCCGGGCGTGGTGGCAGGCGCCTGTAATCCCAGCTACTCAGGAGACTGAGGCAGAAGAATCACTTGAACCTGGGAGGCGGAGGTTGCAGTGAGCTGAGATCACGCCATTGCACTCCAGCCCAGGCAATAAGAGCAAAACTCCATCTCAAAATAATAATAATAATAACAATAATAACAATAATAATGAAAAGGCATTAATTCTCTTTAGACTCATTCAAAGCAATGCTCATAATCTCAGTAAGTATACTGTGACACCTGACAAGCTCATTCTAAAGTGGATCCTGAAATGCATAGGGTAAGAATTGCTAAGACACTCTTTTTTTTTTTTAATATGGAACACTTCACAAATGTGTGTCATTCTTGCACAGATACCATGCTCATCTTCTCTGCATCATTCCAGTTTTAGTGTATGTGCTGCCACAGTGAGCATGCAAGATGCTCTTGAAGAAAACAAGACGGCGGGCTTTCGCTACAGATGTCAAGACTTACTATAAAACTACGACAATCAAGAGAGTGTGGTATGGGCACAAAGAATAGAATACAAATCAATGAAATAAAACAGAGAACAGCAAAACAGATCCACCCGTGTGTGGACAACTCACTGAGGACTCATGTGCCACCACAGAGGAGTAGGGCAAGGGCTGTCTTCTCCTTAGATAAGAATGGGACAGCTGGTTATCCTTCTTTAGCAATGAACCCTGGAACCCAGTCCCACACCATTCACAAAAACGCATTCCAGGTGAATGGCAGACCGAAATGTGAACAACAAAACAACAGCATTTTCCCAAATTAATGGAATAACGTTTTGATCTCAGCCAAGGGAAACAGTACTTAAGGAGAACACAAAAAGCAAAAATCGGGCCAGGCATGGTGGCTCACGCCTGTAATCCCAGCACTCTGGGAGGCCAAGGCAGGTGGATCACCTGAGGTCAGGAGTTCAAGACCAGCCTGGTCAACACAGTGAAACCCTGACTCTACTAAAAATACAAAAAATTAGCCGGGCCTGGTGGTGTACGTACGTCTATAGTCCCAGCTACTTGGGAGGCTGAGGCATAATAATCGCTTGATCTGGAAGGCAGAGGCTGCAGAGAACCAAGATCACGCCACTGCACTCCAGCCTGTGCAACAGAGTGAGACACTGTCTCAAAAAACAAACAAAACAAAAAAGCAAAAAGCAAAAATCATGCAAGAAAAGAAGATGATGGATAGAACTTCTGTTCACTAAGCTACCATTAGTGGAAAGCCAGCCACAAAGTGGGAGAGAACTCTTGCAAGGTATTACCGACAAAGGGCTGGTATCCAGAATATAATATAAAAAATTCCTATAAATGATCCTATATTAGAAAATGTGCAGCTGCTCTGCCTAGGGAGTAGCCATTCTTTTATTCCTTTGCTTTCTTAATAAACTTGCTTTCACTTTACTATATTGACTTGCCCTGAATTCTTTCTTGCACAAGGTCCAAGAAGCCTCTCTTGGGGTCTGGAACAGGATCCCTTTCTGGTAACATCTTCCTGGTGAATTCCAAAGAGGTAATACTGAGGAGACCCCCGACCCGAAGGAAGTAAGACCACAGCACCAAATGGCCGACTTTGGGTAAGTGGAGTGCATTTACCGGGGTAAAGGATGGAACTGGGTTAGAGGCCCAACTTAGGGGAGTCAGAATTTCTCCTAAGACAGAGTGGGTTAAAGGCCCCTCTTAATAAAAGGCAAGGGCACTTGAACAAACCTGCGTTCGAGGCCCAACCTGGGAAGGTTACAGTCCTTCCTAAGATACAAGGGGTTAGAGGCCCCCCTTCAGTAAAGTCCCTCTCGGCCAAGAATGGATCTGGCACTACAGAACGTTAACCACTATTCTCTTTGGATTAATCTGCCTTGCACTCTTTGCTGACCGCTTTGGGTGACAAGGTTAGGCATGTACAGGATCATGGAACATGGGAGCATTTTTTCTCCCCAAAAGGGGAAACTCCAGAGCTGATGGGACTGCTGGAAAAGAGCCCTTCATTACTGACAAAT